AAAGAACATTTATTCCCCTACTATTACTCTTATCTTAGTAAATGCTTTTTATTTTAATATAAAAAAAATAAGTTCTTTTTAACTTTTATTTATAAAATTAAGTGTTTAATTAAAGATAAGTAAGCCTTACTATTAGATAATAAATATAAAACTAAAGTATTAGTAAACCTTTAATTACTATCTAAATACTGTTAGTACTAAGACATATTTAGCTACACTGTAGCCTACTAATTACTAGCATATTGCTTATATAACTATAAGATTGTCTTTACAGAACCTCTTTTTAACAGTTACAGCCCTTTGTACAAATAGAATGTTAAGGAACTAGAGGTAATAAAAAAGTATATTATAAATAATTTAAAATATAGCTTTATTAAGTAAAGTTAAAGCCCTTTTCTATCTTTTATTTTTTATGTATAGAAACTAAATAGTAACTTATATATTTATGTTAATTACTATAAACTTAATGCTATTACTTATAAAAATATATATTTAATACTATGTATAGACAAACTCTTATTAAGACTTATAAAAGTAGCTATTTTTATAAAGTTTAATATTTACATAGCTTTTAACAAAATTAGGATAAACCTAAGCTCTAAAAAGTGTACTACTTTTTAGACATAATATATAACATATAAGTATAAAGTTCTACTTTTTAGATTATGTAATAGCCTAGTAACTTACTAGCGCTATATAAATAACATATTAATTAACTACTTAGATAACTTTTATATTACTTATCTAAATAACATTCTTATTTACTTTAAAAATAAAGTAACTTATATACTTTATATTAAAAAGGTTTTAGAGAGGCTCTAGTAAGCAAGATTATAAGTAAAGATTAAAAAAAGTAAATTTTATATTACTTAAACAAAGTATCTTAGCTATATACTTTTAAATAAAGGACTAGAGGTTAACTTATAGAAAGTAAAAGTGCTACGCAACTAGTAAGCGCTTACTACTATAATAAGTGTAAAATCTTTCTTAGGCTTTCCTAGTTTTTATTAACAATTTATTCTAAAAGAATTTTATATAGTAAAACTAATTATTACACTTTAAAGCCTTACTACTCTTTTTATATAAACTTTAGAGTGTAATATAGCTTTTAAAAAGCTAAAGTTTAAGCTACTAAAAATACCTATGTTTTACTATTTTAACTTTATGTTATAAACTAAAATTAAAACTAACACTTTTAATAGAGTAGTAGTAGAAGTCCTATCCTTAAAACATGCTAATAGAAATTAGTGCTTTATTTTATTCTATATTAAAGTTCTATCTAGTTTAAAGCTAAACTAAGAAATACATAATAAAAAGCTATTTATAATTATTACTATGTTTAAATAATAAAAAGTTAAGCTTACATTAGTAATAACAAGCACCTTAGTATATACTAATTATTAGTTATTAAAGTACTTTATAATAATAAAGGTGCTAATTGCTTGTTAAGTCTATTAGGCTAAAAAGTTAGCTTAGTATTACTTTGAAATTAAGTACACTTTTAGTAAGAATAACACTAGAGCAGACATTCTTAGCTATTATAAACAAGACATAGAAAATTTAAAAGCAGCTTAAACTAATAACTAGTTAAGAGTTTTACTTAGACTACACTAACTCTACCTCTAAATTAATAAAAAATTAGCCTAGTACTATATTACTTAAACAATAACTTAAGCAACTTTACTAAATGTTATAAAAGGACTAAACTAGGTTATATTTTTAAATTCTTTAAAATTAATTAACATATTACTTTAAAAGAATTAAGCTTCTTTTACATAAAAGTAAAAACTTTTACCTTGCTGTTATTTAATAGAAAATAAATTACTTTTTTATATTAACTATTTATATGTTTTAGTAGACTTGCTACTGTGTACTTAACTTATCTAAAAAGTTTATAATTAAGTATCTTTAGCACACTCTAGTGCTACTAAGACCTATTAGTTACTGTTCTAAAAGTACTACTAAAAAAGTATAAAGGCTACTTATAAATAATATGTATAGAATTGCCTTCTCTGTTATAAAGCTTATCTAAAATAAACTTAAACCTTAGGGTTTATTTACCTGCTTTTAATCCTTAATTAACTAATGCAGCACTTATGTATAAACTTTAAAAACTTTTTTAAAGACAAGTCTAGTTATAACTAAATTATAGTTATAATTAATTACATGTTTAAATAAGCTATTTTTATTCCTTGCTATAAAATAATTAACGCCTAAAAAATAGCTACCTTGTTTATTTAATAAGTGTACTATTTTAGCTATATACCTAAAACTATTATCTTTAACTAGGGACTTTAGTTTATATCTAGCTTCTAGTCTAAATTCTGTTAAATTTTAAGCATAAAAGTTAAGCTTTTTACTGCCTATTATAAGGAAATAAATAGCTAAATAGAGATTATAAATAAGTATATTAATTAAAGACTAAGGCCTTTTATATTTTTTTACTAAGATAACTAGAGTTTCTTACTACCTCTAATTAATTAGGCTTAGATAACTTTACTTTATATAATAATTAAAATGTCTTTATATTAAGTCTTATATAGCTCTAAACTATGTAAAAGCTAGGACTAGAAACATTCTATAGAACCTATTACAGCCACAGATAAGCTAAATTATAAGAATGCTCTAGTATTAGCAACCTACATGTATGCAGCCTAGAAGTTAGCTAAGACCTATATAGAAAAAGCCTAGGATTAGATGTAAACTGTAGTTAACTGCTACTACTAGCTAGTTAACTAGAAAGTTAGTAACATAGTCTACCTAAACACTAAAAACCTAGCTGTTTAAAAACCTAGCTAAAAACTATCTAAATAATAAAAAGGGCTTTTTAAGGTACTTAAATAAGTTAAAAACTTATACTATCTAAAGCTACTTTTAAAGTTAAAGATACATAACGTCTTTGCACTAAATATAGTTTATAAAGACCCCTAGGATCTACTTCTAAAATAAAACCTTAAAAACCCCTAGAATTACTATTAATAGAGTAGAGAAGTAGGAAGTAGAGAAAATACTTGCTAGTAAACTTTATTAAAAAATGCTTAAGTACTAGGTAAAATAAGTAGAACATAACTCTAATCTAGTCTAGTATAAAGCTTTAAATTTTATAAGTTTTTCTTATAAACTAAAGGCTTTTTATAATAAGCATTTAAATTAGCTAAAACTTTTAAAAGCTTTACATAAGTAAATTAAAGCTTTTAAAGCTAGTGTAGAAGGCATAGATTACTTAGTAAATAATAAAGTATAAAAGTAAAAAGTTAATTTATAGTTATACATAATAGTATTATAACTTTATAGACATAGTGCTAGAGAGGTCTAATAGTAAGCTGTTAGACACCTCTAGACTCTTCTTTTTCTTCTCTACCCTTCTTTCTCTTCTCTCTCCTCTTCTCTCTTCTCTCTAGACTCTTTTTAAACTCTCTTTACTTTATTCTTAGCTACCTAAGAGCGCTGTAATGTCTGCTTAAAGGTTAAACACTAAAGCCTTTAGAGCTAAAACCTAATAGAGCAGCTTAGTGTTTTAGTAGAATAAGGCTACTTAAACACTAGCTGTAGAAAGCCTAGCCTCCTAGCTCTTTACAACCTATGCTACCTACACTAGGTTCTAAGTAAACTTTAAAATAGCTTTAAAAGCCTTTTTTTATTCTTTTTACTTTTTATGTTTTAGGCTGCTGCTTATAGCTTAAAATAGCTTTAAAAAACTAAGATTTTTTTTTATAATATAAAAGAACCTACGCGCGCGTTAGTAAACTATACCCTAGTAGTATTAAACTATATTTATATAAAGTTACATTTTTTATTATATAAGGTGTAATATTTACATTTTTTTAATTTAAAAAACTAATAAAAAAACTTAACTTAAAGGCTGTAGGTAAGAGTGTAGGCAGCCTAAAAGTAGATAACTTAAAACACCTCTAAAGAGGCTCTAGAAGAGGGGCAGAGCAGCATAGTAATTTTCTTTAATACTATAATTAGTTAGTAGACTAAGCTATAGGATGTTAGGTGCATAATAATACTTATAAAGTAAAGATTTAGATAATAGCTAAAGAAGAAACTAACAACATTAACTAGACTATATAAGTAAGATAAGTAAACACTTATTACTATAAATAATAAATTTACTACATTAATAATAACTATACTGCTAGTTACTACTAAACAAAAACATTATAATAAAGGCATTATATTAGTATTAGGTTTTTAGTCTATTTCTTAGTAATAGGAAATTTTAGTTAAGATAGTTGTACTTATTATATCTTATCTAAATTAGTTTTAAATTAGTTCTAAATATTTTCTACACACTATAGATAAGGACTATTAGCCTATAGAGGGGGGGGAGAGTAGTGTAACAATTCTATAAATTGTTCTATCTTAGGTTGCTTAGATCCTATCTAAAGAGTCCCTATATTAGCCCTAATGTTTGCAGTTACGGAGCTGTCCATGCGCTAGCCACCAACACTCCTTTAGCGTACTGCTGCCTAGCAATGCCACCTGCTGCAGCCTAGAGCTATTGGTGGCCTTAAGTCACATGATGGGTTCATCTAGTACTATATAAACCCGTAGTTGCCCTCCTTTAGCAATACAATGCAGTTCCTCATGTCTCTGGTGCCTCACATAGCTTCACAGTTAGAGTCGCAGCTAAGTTAATAATAACAGACAACAAGATAAAGCTTTTGTACAACCTTAGCAGCTAGAGTAGTAACAATTACAAGACTTAACACTAAGAACTTTTATAGTATAGGTTAACAAGCTATTAAATTAAACTATAAGCAAGCTACCTATCTTAGCTTAATTATGTAATTAAGTTAAGCTGCTTATTAACTTATTAATCTCCACTCAAGCTAGCCAGCCGGCTTGACTTAACTTGCTTCTTGGAAAGTCTAAGGGATAAAAACGTCAGATTTGCGGAGGGAAGTCTAGGACACCATCCAAACGCCATACACCTATATCCCAATTCTCAACAGAATGCGCTCTATGCTCTAAACGTCTTTCGGGTATCACATGCGCCACACAAAAACATTCAGCTTCAAACGAGTTCTTGTCGTCTTGCTGAATTTCCTCCAATTACAACACTCAACTCTCCTGTCGGCCAAACAGGAATGACTCGAACCCTTGAAAAACGACCTCGAGTGTGGTCGAGCTCGCCATCCTAACGAGACTTTGTGTCCAGGCGAAGGTGGAGGCGATGGGGTTGGTGGGTGTCTCGTTGCCCTTCTGGTGCTCGCGGTAATGGAGGGTAAAGGTACCGTGGGCGGCCTCGGACTCGGCCTCGACTCCGGTGATTACTTGCGATTCCGCGTCCCGGGTGTAACCTTCCTGAGGATATGGCAATCTACAGGGCAGTGACTTCCAGCTTCATAGCACTCCACACATGAATTATAACTCTTAAACTTGTCCGGCCCCGTCGAACTGTTCCAATCGCAGCACAACCAGCAGTCTAGTAGCGCAACGTTAGTTCTTCAAGTACAGAGGTAAGCAGGATATTGGGTACTTACGATAGAACCACTGCGACTGGCGCTCAATCGCCTTGTGGCAATGATAACACGATACTCCACGCGTGCGCGTGACGGCGTAGACATTATCTTTCGCTGCGCTGGTGATCGGACAGCAATCTTTCGAATCAGCAAGCACCGTCTGTTTCTTGAAGCTCAGCACGCCTTCGTATGCGGCCCCCGAGGGCATGGAAATCCCCGACTGCAGCGCCGACTGCGCGACGCCAGTATCGAAACCAAGATCTTGCGCGCACCCAGCGACATTGCTGGCAATCGCCGCCGGAACCACATCCAACGACAACCCCGAAGACGACGGCACAAGCGCCTCCGTGACACAGTCTGCCAAAGGCTCAGTGGCGAAACTCGCGATCCCGAACGACGCAACACAAATCACGGCGTTGACACCCATCGTGACATTCCTATCCGTCGCCGACAGATCCGTGCAGTGTATACCTCTAGATTTCAATTCGTCGCGTATTATTTCCAGTTTCTTGGCCGCTATGTAGAGTTGGCGGCCGCTGTATATGGCGCCGAGGGCCGAACCACCGGCTGTGACGAGGGTGCCTGCGGCGCCGAAGGTCATTTTTGTGCCGTGGCCGATACCTTTGCGTTGTTTGGCGGCTTCGCGGCCAACGAGTTCGGCGTCGGTCATGCGATAGACTTTGATCATGTAGTCGACAGAGTCGAATTTAAAGGTTTCTTTGTAGCCCATGGTTGTGGTTGGGGATTGTGGCTGGTTGGGTTAGAGTGGTGACCGTGATGGTTTGTTGGAATGCGGAGTCTTTCGGCTTTTTGAAGATATCGGTCGGGGAGAAGGGAATGAATAGCGTGTTGGAAGTGACGGGCTGAATTCTTGGTAGAAGCGATTGTCGGTGGTGATTATCGAGTGTACCGGTGAAGTCGTATGTGAGTGAATGACTGACTTTCCACCTCGTGCTTCTTACAGCTCTTACTTATCCAAAAGAATCGGGGCTCCACAGTGTGTCGCTAGGGGCCAAAAGGCGCCAGGAAACGCCCGTTCGTCTGCAGTCATTAGGAAAAGGCCAAGAAGAGTGACCACATAATGGCGTTGTCCTGCATTGTGGAGGGGGCGGCTAGGTGTTCTAGAAGCCGCAATGTGGCTGGGTTTTGTGTCCTTCAAGCTTCTGGGCAAAACAGGGCGGAGTAGAAACCGCAGAGAGTCTTCACCAGTGGTTGTCCCGCAACAGAAGTTGTTCGTGGAGGCTGGAGCAGCGCGGAAGTATCCGATGCTATTGACGAATGCGGGTTGAGGCGGAGAATTGTCGCAGCGTTCAGCTGCAGTGAATTCCCCGACCCTTGCCAACTTCCACCTTCTACGCCGGCAGTTGAGGCTGAAATTGCCTGACTAGGATTCAAGATGGCGCTTGGCTTTGAAGGATTTACTAAGGGCCAATGAGATCATCCGCCCCGGTGATGCAGTCAGGGATGCGCGATGTTGTGATGCCGGGGCAGTGCCCAGCACCGCCATGCAATCTGTCGGTATCGAGCCAATTAGATGCACGAAATGTTAGTTTTCGAGTTTGCTTGCATGTTCTGTCGAAAATAAATCTCGGAACGATTGGTTGGAATATAGGAACCGAGGCTGAGCTCTATCATCATTTTTGCTATAGGGAGTTGTCTGGTTCGAGTTAGCTTCGAGAGCGACCAATCTGAGGGACGAAAACATTATAATTCATCACTATATCAGTGAATTTCGAGAGCAGCCAAAACCCACCTCACGACTGACCCATTTTACCCCGACGCATTACCTAGCTGTTACAAACTACAACCCCAATAGGGGATGGTTCAATATAAACCGCAGAAACAGGCATAAGGTTAGACCTGGGACAGTAAGATTTTTTTAGCGCAAAGGGACGAAAACAGGTTCAAAAGCTATAGGCAGGCGGCGGTTAAGCTATATAGGCGTTGTGGCAGAAGAGAGAGTGGTTAAAAGGTAGGCACTAGTAAGGTCTTAACTGTTTTTAGTAAGAGGTTTGTTTAGCAAAACAGCAAGGGGCGCTAGCCGCATTTAGGGTTTTAGTGGAATTAAACAGCATCCACCTCTAGCTAACAGTAGTACATAGATAATAGACAGAAACGTTTCACAAAGGCTCTAAAAGCTAGATTCTGTAATATAGTATACATACATATAGTTTGTAGGTAGTTAGGAATAGCATTGTAGTACTTAGCTAGCATTAAGCGCTAGCTACATTTAGGTTTTTAGTAGAATTAAACAGCACCCACCTCTAGCAGTTAGTAGTACATAGATAATAGATAGAAACGTTTCACAAAGGCACTACAAGCTAGATTCTGTAATATAGTATACATATGTATATGTTGTTTAGAGCTTTAACTGCTATCTATAAAATAGCCTTATTATCTATACAGTTACCTAGCTTAGTCTTTAGGATGTTAAACACTTATTAAAGAGGTATATGCACATGCTTAACTTTTCTAACTGCCTAATATGCTTTTATAGGCATCTACTTATATATAGCTTCTATAATCTTTATATAAGCTTAAAAAATTTTTAAAGCAAAGTTTATACTAAAGTTATGCATAATATAGTCTAAGGGTTCTTAATAAGTGTTAATCTAGCATTTACATAGTACATCCTAGGTATCTTATGCAGACATAGATTTTAGGAATGTAGAGCCTAAAATAATATATTTATATTAATAACATATAGAACATCTTTATTATTAATTTATATAATATTAATAATAACTTTATAGTTAAAGTAGGTGTTATTTTTAATTATAAACTTAAATCTTTATAAGGCCTAGTTATATAATTAGCAGAGGTAGTAAAACTTTTTAATCTCTTCTAGCACTGCAGCATTAATGTTGTAGCTAGCGCTAGTTAGCATTTTCTAGAGTTTTTCTATGCAGGGGTGTCTAAATTAGCAGTAGAGGTAGTAAAGTTTTAATTTAAAAAAAAAACATAAATTCTTTTTTACTAATATTAAAAAAAAAGTGTCCTTATTTTTATATAATAAGTATAGTAGTTTTATTTTTACATATAATAATATTTAAAACATTATTAAAGTATACCTTAAGTTAGTTAGCATCTGCTAGTAATAGTAGGAATAGTGTTAGAGTTTTTAAGATGTAGTATGTAACTAGAATAATTAGGTTCTAAATTTATATAGTACTAATTAATCTTTTTAGTGTCTAGCCTTTAAAGCTAATATCTATTTAGCTAGGTATCTAATTAATTTTTATACATAGGTTCTTTTATATGTACGCCTTAAGTTAAAACTTGCTAATAGTAGAGATTTTTACTACGCCTATGTCTTATAGTTTGCCTTAGTATACCATATAGTATTAGTTGTTAAGAATAAACTGCTGAGCATACTTCTTAGGTTTAATGCTGTAGATGTCCTCTCCTGTTATATAGTGTAGATAGGTAGTAAAGGTAAAGTAGTTAATAGCTTTCTTAGCATTCTTACTCTTTTATATTATTTTTTTTATATTATGCAAATTATTCTCTTTTTTAAAGTAACTTCTAAAGTTTTAAATATATAAGGTAATAGCTTTATATAATAAGGTCTTATTATAAAAATCTTTATATAAGGTAATATACTAGTTCTTTGCTTATGTATAATTATTATAAAAGTAGTTTAATAACTAACATTTTTTTTTATAGTAGACAAAGCACTTTTTTATCTGCATACAGTTATCTCTAAATTATAGCTTAAACTTAAATAAAAATTTTCTATATTATTTTTTTCTACATAAAGAGAAGCTTTCTTCTTGTTGTGTAGACTTTTATTATGTAAAGTTATATTAGTAGTTTATATAGTATGCATTAGGCAGTTTTTAAAGGTATTAGTTTACCCTTTAGTCTATAGTAACTTAGAGTAATGCCTGTAAGTTGCTAAATAAGGCTTTATATAAAAGCTTAATAGTAAACATAGCATGTTCTAGTTCTAGTTATTCTTAATAGGCTTATATAATAGTAGTGTGCAGTAAAACATCTTCTTAGAATTTTATTTTTAGTGCTTTTTATAACGTACCTAACAGGTTGGCCGGCCACACAGGTTGGCCGGCCACTTTTGCCAAGCCCCCACTAAAACCACCCTATTCTCTCGCAAAACAGCCTACTTTAGCCCTGTATAAAGTAATACAACATAAGATATTATTTAGAGTCTACTTCTACTACTTACTTACATATACGCAAGTTATGCCTAGTTTAATTACACTACCTACATTGCCTTTAACTTAGCTTACCTCCTTTAGCGCGCACCTGTGTCTTTAGCTTTTTCCTATTACTACGCGCTCTAAACTTCTTTAGAGCAGTTAGACAAGCTCTATTCTTAACTATTAAAGTCTTTTTTACCTAAATTTACTTCCTTTTATGTAATCTATGTTATGTGGCAGCCTTATTTACTGCTTAAAGCTTTATAATCTTATAGCCTACTTTATTATGTTAATGCTCTAGATAACTGTTGTCTACTTCTTATTACCTTACTATAGTGCCTTTAGCTGTCTTTATCTCTTTAAAGCTGTAACAACTGCTCTAGTTAATATCTAGCTTATTATAAAGCCTAACTTGTTAAAGTTATACCTATCTTTATCCTAGATACTGTACTTAGCTTTTATATTAGCTACTAGGCAAAACTAGCCCTAGATAACCTCTAGATCCTTATAAAGTGCTCTTTTATAATTATACCTTTAATTAAACTTTATTATAAACTTAGGGCAGTGCTTAACCTACATACTAGTCTAGTTTAAGCTAACCTAGCCTAAATTGCGCTTTACAGGCAAGGAATTAGCTATATTAGCTACAGCTGCAAGCCTAGAGGGAAATCTGTGTGTAATAAGCTTAAGTATGTACTTAATAACTACCTTCTTTTTAAGCTTAGTTAGATTTCTTAATTTAGGCTAGCATTCTGCTTATAAAGGCTGTCTAGCGCGTTAATTGCTTAGTGTTGTGTAAGAGACATTATAGATAGCTGCAGCGCGTTCTAAGAAGAGTTTTAAGTCTTATTTAAAAGCCTAAAGAGCAAGCTGTATCTAACGTTCTTTAGAAGATTTAATCTAGTGTTGTTGTTAAGGCATTATGTAGATAGGTAGAGTTTGGTGGGGGCTTGGCAAAAGTGGCCAGCTAACCCGTGTGGCCGGCCAACCTGTTAGGTACGTTATAAGCATAAGCTAATTAATTATTATTTTAAAGACTTTATATAAACTTTTATTAGAGTTCTTTTATTAGTATTATATAAAAGTTATTATTATCTAGTCTATCTAGTACTAGCTATAGTTTACATTAGTGTTAAAGTAACTACTTAAAGTGTTGTATAAATGCTTCTAGTTATATTTAAAGCCTATGTTATGCATATAGTACATATTTACCTAACCTTTTAGAATATCTAGAAAGATATTTATATACTAAGTTTTTTAGATATCTAGCTATTAACATAAATTTATAAAAGTCTTTATTTTATTTATAAAAATATTATATAGTTAACTTATATAGTTATTATTTTTTTATGCTTTTTAAAATTATATAATTTTATCTACTAAAAGTTTTTCTATAGCAGTTTCTTTCTAAGGTAGAAGTTTATATAAGTTGTAATGTAGTATAGATTGTGTAGGTACTATTAGTAGTGTATACACTACTGCAGGCAGTAGTGTGTACAATTAAAGGTGTGAAGCAGGCGTTAGGTAAAGTAGCATGTATTGTTTATATAGTAATTAGTGTAGTGCTAGCTAAAGTGTAGAAGTAGGTAATACTAGTATGTTTAATGTTATTAGCAGCATTATGTTTAGTCTACTTTTATGTAAAGCCTTATATAGTAATAAAAGTTATATATAAAGCTTTTTTAGTATAATTACTTTTTTTATGCTATATTATACAGCTTCTAGGCTTAGGTACCTTTATTACCTAGCTATAGTGTAATTCTT